TTGCTTGTTCTCATTCTTGTCTCAGTTAAACGTCACTTCCTCAGACCAGATTCCCTGGTCTGTCCCTAGGGCTGCCACCCTCCCGGCCATCGCACTTGTCAGAGCGACCCCTGCCCCCCGCTGGGCTGTGCACTCCCTGAGGTCCGGGTCCACGTCTGCCTGTCACTGCCATGTCCCTGGCACGGAGCCCATAGCAAGGGCTCGAGAGACGTTTGCAGAGTGAGCCTCTGACGCTGTGAGCATAAGCCACCTTTGTCCCTCGGCTGTGAGGGACCCGCCCCTGCTGTGGTGGAGGTCACGTCACCATGACCACGTAATGTCGTGCAGCGAGACACCTCGGAACCCAGAGCTGGAAGCGACAGTGACGTGTGCTCGCGGTCTGCACTGGCCTGAGGCGGCCGACCTGGGCCAGGCTTGATGGACACAGCGTGCTCCACCTGCCTCATGTCCTCCCGAGGCCGTGGGCTGCCCGGGGATGTCTCCCACCGCAGAGGTGGAGGTCTGGCCTGCACTCTAGCCCACGGCACACCCACCTCATTTGATTGGCTGACACAGGTCACATGACTGGCCCCAACCCTAAAGGACAGGAGGGTCCTCCCCTCTCTCGGGACAGAAAGCTGGCCCTGTGCCAGGTGCTGTGTGTCATCATTGCAATCGGCCCCCAAAGCAGGTGCTGTCCTCACAGTCCTCTGCAGACGCAGGTGTGAGCACTCCCCCTGCCCCAGCATTGCTCCCGAGGCGCCAGGCTGCAGAGGGGACACGGACACGAGTGAAGGCCCCAAGTCAGAGGGAATTCCTGCCCTCGCCTGGCGCCCTGGGCTTCTGTCTGAGGGAGCGTGCAGGGCTGAGGCCCGGGGCCGGCCTCTCTCCCCACCAGGTACCTCCCCACTCCCCGCCCCCGGCTGCCCTGACCCGCACACGCACAGAGGAGCACCACGAGTCAGTTCGGTTCTGTTCCGGGCGCAGCATAGACCAGTATCCCCCAGATGAAACGCGTCAGCGTGAAGCCGGAGCACATGGATATGGCCTGTCGGAGCCGGTGACAGAGGCGGAGGAAGTGACCACAGGGAGCAGGCAGGACCCAGCGCGGTCTCATTAGAAAGAGCCTGGGCTCGCAGACCATGGCGCTTGTACAGAGTTCGTCTTTTCTTGAGTTTGCAAACAGCTTATTTCTGTGGCTTGACAGTCACAAAGGAGAAAGAAAAAGGTGTGTCCCAGCCACTGCTGTGCGATCACAGCGTCCAAGGCAGGAGGATCGATTTAAAACCCTGTCTCCCGGCAGAAAGCTGGGCTGGCAGAGGCTGGAGGGAAATGTAAACCAGTCCCATGGTTTCAACCCTTCTTCGCTGTGAATTGAAACACCCATAAATACGTGGGCAGCACAGACGTATCGGACTAGCAGATGGTTATTAAAAACCATCTCTGTAACCATCACCCAGATGAAGAAAGATCGTGGCAAGGACCCTGGAAGCCCCCTCACACCCCCTCAATCCCAGGATCCTCCTTGCTCACAGGACCCATATCTGGCTTATTTGACGAACATCAGGTCCTTGCTTTTCTATAAACTAGAGGCCTGGTGCACGGAATTCATGCAGGGTCAGGCCCCTAGGCCTCGCCTCCCTGCCTCCCCGCCTCCTCCTTCCCTCACTCTCTCAGTGCCCCACAGCTGCTGGTTGCCCCCCCATGTTCCACGCCACCCCCTGGTGGTCAGCGCACGTCATAGCAAGCAATCGAACTCACACTCTCCCGGTCAAACTCCCGAGTGGAAAATTTGGATATTAGCCTTTTATATATATAGATTTAAAACCCTGTCTCCCGGCAGAAAGCTGGGCTGGCAGAGGCTGGAGGGAAATGTAAACCAGTCCCATGGTTTCAACCCTTCTTCGCTGTGAATTGAAACACCCATAAATACGTGGGCAGCACAGACGTATCGGACTAGCAGATGGTTATTAAAAACCATCTCTGTAACCATCACCCAGATGAAGAAAGATCGTGGCAAGGACCCTGGAAGCCCCCTCACACCCCCTCAATCCCAGGATCCCCCTCCTCACAGGACCCATATCTGGCTTGACGAACATCAGGTCCTTGCTTTTCTATAAACTAGAGGTCTGGTGCACGGAATTCATGCAGGGTCAGACCCCTAGGCCTCGTCTCCCTGCCTCCCTGCCTCCTCCTTCCCTTGCTCTCTCAGTGCCCCGCAGCTGCTGGTTGCCCCCCCATATTCCATGCCACCCCCTGGTGGTCAGCGCACGTCATAGCAAGCAATCGAACTCCCGCTCTCCCGGTCAAACTCCTGAGTGGAAAATTTGGATATTAGCCTTTTATATATATAGATGGAATCATGTGACACATGCTCTTGTGTGCCAGGCTGCTTTCACTCAGCTTTATGCTTAGGAGATTCATCCGTGTTGCATGTAGCAGTTCATTCTTCCTCGTCAGTCTGTATTATCCCATGGTATAAATACATCACCATTTACCTGTTCTACTGTTGATGGGCATTTGTATGGCTTCTTAGTTTAGACTATTACACTTTCTGCTGATATAAACTTTCCTGGAGAAGTTGTTTGATATGCTGTACATGCATTTCTCTTGGGCAGAGACCAAGGAGCGGAATTGTTGGGTGAAAGAATATATGTAGCCTGGCTGGAGTGGCTCAATTGGTTGAGCCTCGTCCTGTGCACCAAAATGTTGCTGGTTTGATTCCTGATCAGGGCATATACCCAGGTTGTGGGTTCTCACATTGATGTTTCTCTCTCTCTCTCTCCCTTTCTCTCTCTAAGCATGTCCTTGGGTGAGGATTTTTTTAAAAAGAACATATATAGGTTCAATCCATATTCTCCATAGTTATTGATATAGCCACCAATTTGATCAGCATTAGTAATTTATGGATATTTTGGTTAGAATTAACATCTTTACAATGTCAACCTTCCAATCCAGAAACATGGTATTTCCTTACATTTATTTCAGTCTTATTTCTTTTAATATTATTTTACAGTTTCCACCCGTAGGTATAATTTTCCTATAGTGTGTTGGGTCTTTTTTTCAGATTAAAGAAGTTTCCTTTCATTTCTGTTTTGCTAAGGGTGTTTCTTATGCATGGAAATTAAATTTTGTAAAATGTTTTTTCCTCATCTAGTCACATAGTCATCACGATATTTTTCTGCTCTACCAGGTATACTGTTAATGTGTCAAATTGCATTGATGTGGGTAATGCCATTAAGTGCATACAAATTTAGATTTTCACATCTTTCTGTTGAGTTAGATCTTTTAGCATTATGAAGTAAACCCCTTTATTTCTAGTCACCCTTTTTTTTCTTAAAGACTATTTTATCTACTATTAATGTAGCAGAAAGTGACCCTATGTTTACTAGATTCTGGTTATACACTCATTCATTCATTTTCAAAAAAATTTGCTAAGATCCTAGGTGCCAGGGCCTCCTATGTAAACTTGTGCAATTTATGGCACCTCCCTTTTACTGTGCAGATGAAGCCTTTGTTTTCTTGGCTGTAAATTTCTTCCATCAGTTTGGGAAATGTCTAAGCCAGTGGTCGGCGATTTGTTGATGATAGCCATTCTGACAGGTGTGAGATGGTACCTCATTGTTGTTTTGATTTGCATCTCTCGGATGCAAATTTAGATTTTCACATCTTTCTGTTGAGTTAGATCTTTTAGCATTATGAAGTAAACCCCTTTATTTCTAGTCACCCTTTTTTTTCTTAAAGACTATTTTATCTACTATTAATGTAGCAGAAAGTGACCCTATGTTTACTAGATTCTGGTTATACACTCATTCATTCATTTTCAAAAAAATTTGCTAAGATCCTAGGTGCCAGGGCCTCCTATGTAAACTTGTGCAATTTATGGCACCTCCCTTTTACTGTGCAGATGAAGCCTTCGTTTTCTCAGCTGTAAATATCTTCCATCAGTTTTGGGAAATGTCTAAGCCATCATCACATCAAATATTGCTTCTACCTGGGCTCTCCCTTCCTTTCTTTGGAGACTCCAATGAAAAATGTTAGATTTTTGCCCTGCCCAGTGTCCTCAGTGGTTAGGGCATATGCCACGCACTGAATTTTGTAAAATGTTTTTTCCTCATCTACTAGTAGTCACATAGTCATCATGATATTTGTCTGCTCTATACTGTTCATGTGTCAGATTGCATTGCTGCGTTGATGTGGGCAATGCCATTAAGTGCATATTCCGGTCAAGAGCATGTACTGGGCTGTGGGTTCACTCCCCACCCCTCATCGGGCATATGTGGAAGGCAGCCAGTCGATGAGTCTCACATTGGTGTTTATCTCTCTTTCTCTCTCTCCCTTCCTCCCTCCCTTCTACTCGCTCTCTGAAAAGCAATGGGGGGAAAAAAATCCTTGGGTGAGGACAAAATAAAAAATATGTTGGGTTTTCTCATTGCATCTTTCGTGCTTTTGTCTTCTCCATATTTCCCATCGCTAGTCTCTCCTTACTTTGTTGTGGATTTCCTCCTGATCTGTCTTCCAGCGTACTAACTCTCTCTTTAGCTGCTTCTAGCTGCCATTAAGCCTATTCATCACTATCTATACTAATAAAAGGGTAATATGCTAATTAGACCAGATAGACTGGACATCTTCCGGACGTCATTCTGGACGTCCTTCCTGACAAAGCTGGGGCCCGGCCTGGGCAAAGCCGCCGGACATCTTCCGGACCGGAGGGAAGCTGGTGCCGGAGGGAAGCTGGTGCCAGCAGCCTAGGGAAGGAAGGCCTCCTCTTACACGAATTTTGTGCAACGGGCCTCTAGTTAGGTTAATAAAATTGGACCACATTCTTCAATTCTGAAAATCCTAACTGGTTCGTTTGAACTAAGCAGTGTTATTCCCAGCTCCTTGCTTAATGTGTTAAGTGTGGCTCTGGCCGTCATGAGCACAGAAAGCATCCACACTTCGGAGTCCAGCCTTGTACTCACACTCTCTGGACGACCTGTGGTCTGACGGGAACCCCGCCGTGTGGCTCTCGGTTGCAGGAGCTGTACCGCAGCACCATGGGAACGTTCCAGACGCTTGTGGACGTCCTGTTCCTGCAGACGCTCCCCGACGTGACGGGCCTCTCGCGGGCTGAGTGCGACTCTGTGAGGCGGGAGGCCCAGGAGGACGCCGCCCTGCAGCTGGGGAACGCGGATCGCTTCCGCCGACAGCAGTGGAGGCTGTCCCAGGACCTCCTGGAGCACGAGCAGCAGGTGCGGCGCCTGTGGAGCGGCCCAGAGTCGCTCTTTTTGAAACTTAGGAAGAATAAGGAGCGTTTTGTTCCCTGAGCACCTCCCGGGGTCCTGCTGGGGGCTTGACCAGGATCCTGGTGGCCAGCCTTTCACCTCAGCCCTCAGGGGGGTCGGGGAAGATTGCAAAGCGCTCCTGTCCCAGGACAGGAAGTCAGCGGATAATCCCTTCAGCCGATCCAGCGAGAAAGAGCAGCAAAACCCGTTCTTTAGAGAGAAATGAATGGCAGAAGGTGGCTCCCAGGGCCGTGGGCTGGGCTGGGGTGGGGGCAGCACTCACGGGACACCTGCTGTCCAGTGAGTCTGTTTCACCATTAAAACCTCATCCATATGCCGGAGGTAGAATAATGGCCCCCAAAGATGCCCACGTCCTAACCCCAGAATCTGTCACCTCACGGGGCACATGGGCCTTTGCAGATGCTGTTACGGATCTTGAGATTTGGAGCTCATTGTGGCTTCTCTGGGTGGGCCCAGTACCATCATGAGGGGCCTTATAGGAGGGAGGTGGGGAGGAGACAGAGGGAGACTGTGCCGGAGCAGAAGCTGGCGTGGTGGGGCCAGGAGCCGAGGGATGCGGCGCCTCCAGACGCTGGAGGAGGCCAGGACAGGGCCCCCCTGGAGCCGCCCCAGGAGCCAGCCCTGCCAGACCTTGAGGTTAGCCCAGGGAGACCAGTCAGCTCTGACCCCCAGAGCTGTGAGATGATGTGCGTGTGGTTGGCTCCTCCTCTCACCCCCTGCATCCAGCTGGCGGGGAATAGTGTCCGTTCCACCTTCAATCCAGACGGTCGCCCCCTCCCATCGCCCGCACGCTGAGCACCCTGGGCAGAGCCACCTCTTGTCACTGAAGGGTGGCCCCCCGGTCTCCCCGCGGCCGCCCTGGCCCGTGGTCTATTCTCGACCCCCAGCCAGAATACATTTAAAATACTATAGGCCACTCGTTGTTAAGATCTTAAATATATATTCATATATTTTAAATACGTTTAAACGCTTCACCATTAAAACCTCATCCATATGCCGGAGGTAGAACAATGGCCCCCAAAGATGCCCACATCCTAACCCCAGGTCTCCCTGCGGCCGCCCTGGCCCGTGGTCTGTTCTCGACCCTCAGCCAGAATACATTTAAAATACTATAGGCCACTCGCTAAGATCTTAAATATATATTTATATATTTTAAATACGTTTAAACGTCCCCAAACCCATTTAAAATGTATCTTAACCCCCCGGGAATGGAGAAGCAGCTTCCTGTAATTGGCAGCGGTTTCTCCCTTAGTGAGACCCAAAGAGACGGTGCATCTTGTCATCGCTGCACCTTCGACTGGACAAGACACCACGTCGCACCGTGTCACCTCTCTGCTCAGAACCCCCCACGGCTTCTCCTTTCACGGAGCGTAAAAGCCAGAGTCTTGGCGGCTCTGGCTCGCTGGGCACGGTCCTGCCTCAGTCGTCCCACTTCAGGTCTTTGCTGCCTTGCCCTCCCCAGCACCCCAGTGTCTGCGTAGAGCCCGCTCCCCTGGGAACCACCTGAGCCTGCCTGGGGTAACGGCGGAGAGGTCGGAGGGACAGTGCAGGCACCTGGCTGGTGACCTTGGTCCTGTGGCTGGTGGTGTCTGCATCCTCAAAACTCACACCAAAGACCCCATAGGCTTTAGGGACAAAGCCAGTTTACCTTTCAGAGAAGCAAGACTAGAGTTTTCTGTGTCCTGGTTTCCGGGGCAATTTGTTCCTGTAGACGCCTCACTAGCGGAGCCAGAGACTGTCCGTAACAGGAGATGAGACGCAATGCGATTTTGTGACATTAGGTTTAAGTGGTAAGAGTCACAATGCCCAGAATGAACTCTGGCTGCGGTGCTTGGTGTAGGCCCTGTGTTCTATCTGAGTTCTGTGTGCAGCGGGCGCCCTCTTCAGGCGGATGAGGGTAGCGCCCCTTGAGCAACCACAGATGCTGGAAAAGTGAAGGTCTCGTTCAGGCCTGAGACCCTGGCTGTAAGTCCGTCTGCCTGGGCGCGTGTGCTCCTGGTGGCACAGACTAGTTGGGGAGGAGCAGGGCAGGGCGCCTGAGACCCTGGCTGTAAGTCCGTCTGCCTGGGCGCCTGTGCTCCTTGGGGAGGAGCAGGGCAGGGGCAGACAGGACTCGGCTTTGGAGAAAGACAGGCCTAGATTCAGTCCCTGCCCCACTCTTTAAACTTATTAGCTCTATGGCCTTGGACCTCACAGGAGTGTTCACAGATGTAATCCAATCAAACGATAAGAAAACCCAGGGAAAAAAAGCTGTTTTTCCAACACTTCCTAAAATCCATAGGAAAGGAAGAACAACCAAGCATAGCTAATACAGTTTTGTGCACAAGAACATGGGAGGCCCTGCCCTGGCAGCCTGAGGCTTGCTGTAAGTGGCAGCTGAAAAGCAAGTGGTGTGATACAGAAACGAACAGACCACAGACTACAAGAGCATAGAGGGAGGCGCATGTATCTATGGAAACTACGTACCTCTGGAAACTACGAGATCCAAGGTGGCATGACGGCCAGTCATAGGAAGATAACCACTAACAAAGGGTGCTGGCACAGTCGGTATCCATCTATCCACAGAAAACCAGATCCCTTCCTCACACCATAGAAAATTCGTATTAGATGCTTTACCATGCAAATAGGAAAATGCATAAGTCTTTAGAAGGAACTATAAGAGAAAATGTTCATGAAATCAGGGGAGACAGGTTTTAAACAAGAAATAAAAGGCAGGTTCCAACAAAGCAGTGATGGGTGAGAGGAGCTCGAGGTGACCGTGTCCCTCTGTCCGGCGTCCAGGTGTGGATGGAGGAGCACGCCTTGTCCACTGTGCTGCAGACACGCCTGTGGGACGACCACGAGAGCACCATCCACTGCGTGCTGGGCCGGCTCGGGGGCCTCAGTGAGGAGTGAGTACGGCTTCCTGAAGGGCCGGGCCTTGTCTCCGGTGTGACACCCACACCAGTCCTCACCCGTGAGTGGGCACATGGACGCCCGCCTCTTACAGTGCGGTGTGACTATTGGGACATTTCTTGGTAGCTCAGTGTATTAGGGTTCTCCAGAGAACAGGGCCAACGAGGGGTGTGTGTGTGTGTGTGTGTGTGTGTTTAGCTATCTATGTGTCTATCGATGCATCTATACCTGTAGAGACAGAAGGAGAGGAGAGAGGAATTGAGAGGTTGCAATATCTGCGGGTTGGCAACCTGGAGACTCGGGCGAGCCCACGCGCATCCCCGTCTGAGTCTGAAGGTCTAGAACCAGGAGAGCCGGTGGGGTCAGCCCGTCAGAAAGCCGCCGGCTCGAGACCCAGGAAGAACCAGTCTCTCAGTCTGAGCCCCAAGGCGGAGAAAGGTGTCCCAGCTCAAGGTGGGCCGACGGGCAGTTCCCTCTTGTTTATGGGAGGGTCGGCCTCTTCTCTGCTTCAAGCACTCACCTGATTAGGCAGGGCCCACCCCATGAGGAAGGGCAATCTGCTGTCCTTGTCTACCATGTCAACATTGATCTACCCAGAAACCCCAGAGCAGTGGTTCTCAACCTTCTGGCCCTTTAAATACAGTTCCTCATGTGGTGACCCAACCATAAAATTATTTTTGTTGCTACTTCATAACTGTAATGTTGCTACTGTTAAGAGTCATAATGTAAATATCTATGCAGGATGATGGTCTTAGGCGACCCCTGTGAAAGGGTCGTTCGACCGCCAAAGGGGTCGCGACCCACAGGTTGAGAACCGCTGCCCCAGAGAATGTCTGAGCAGCTGACAAAGAAGAGTAACCACCCCAGGCAGAGAAGCCAAGAGCACCGACCCCTGCCCCACCCGCTCTCCCCAAAGGTCTGCACGGTGCCTCCTGCAGGGGCACGAGCTGCTCCTGCGCTCCGCCCTCCGGAGGCTGGCTCTCCGTGGCCACGCCATCGCCGTGCTGGCGCAGATGCGGCTGTCGGGGAAGAAGCGCCTGCTGCAGGAGCTGCGTGAGCAGCACGCCCTGGAGCAGGGCTCCTCCCAGTGCCTGGACGAGCATCAGTGGCAGCTGCTCGGAGCCCTGGTGAGATCGCTGCGCGGCCCTAGCCCGTCCCAGCCAGGCTCCAGCATGGTAGCCAGAACCCAGCCCTGCCTCCCCGTGGTCTCGGGGGGGTGATGGCCGCCCTGTCCGGGGGCTGCCCAAAGGCTGCAGTGCACGCTCGGATGAGAATTGTACTGAAAGTGCATTTGAAATCGGAGCGCAGATGGGCACAGTCATCCCTGGGAAAAGGGGGCCCTGTCATCTGAAGGGTTTAACAATCGGAAGGAAGAACGTGTAAGTTACAGGGCTGAGCTACGGGAGCAGCCGGCGTTTTCTGGCCCGTTGGTGAGGGACACGCTCACTCTCACTGCCCCGGAGGCTCCGTGGGAAGCAGGCTGCTCTGCCCCTGACTCCCCTCGCCTCCTTCTCTGACTCGTGTTCCCACGAGGAAAGCCGTCCCCAAGGCCCCATATGCCCTGCTGTGGCTTCGGTGATGTCCCAGATTCCTCCCAGACTCGGATCTGCTGTGTGACTTTTAGAAAGTTACTTAACCTCTCTGAGCCTCTGTGTCCTGAGCACGCCTAACGTTCAGGCTCACAGTGTTCAGGAGGAATGAGGAAGTGCTTGTGTATGTGATGGCCCTGGGCATGCAGTTGATGCTCATTAAATGCCTTGGGTTGAAGGTACCTTCAGCAGACACCTCGATCATCCATTGTGCTGGGGTTTGCAAGCCCAGAGGCCCCCACTTTCCAGCCCTTCTCCCTCCCTTCCCCAACCCTCCTGGCCCTGGGCAGGGCGAGCCCACTTCCTGGTCCTGCAGATCCGGTGCAGGGCCGCAGCGAGGCTCCTCCCTCTCCCTGCCCTGTCCTTCCAGGAGGCCCGCGTGCTTGAGGAGACCTGCCGGCTGGAGGAGGAGGCGCAGCTCACGCGGCTGCAGCTGCAGCAGCAGCTCCTGGCGGAGGTGCAGGAGGTGGGCCGCCGCCACCAGGAGCCGGACCAAGGACCGGGAGGACTTCAAGGTGCGTGCCAACCCCATCCCTGGGAAACGCAAGGGCAAGAAGGGGGGGGGGGAGGCAGGGGCAGACGAGGGGCCGGACTTGGACAGAGTGGCCTCCTGGGCGCTGCACCTGCTGTCCCCACCCGGGAGCTATGGCCTTGCAGAGGGTGCCCATTATTTTAAGTGGAAGGATGGTAACCGGTAACCCTGGTTGGCCGGGAAGCCAGCCATCACGTCTCCAGCCACAGGCATCTCAGCATTTCCTCTCCTTCCTGCTTTGGGTCAGAAGGTGTATCACTGAGGAATGCATATAACTCACATCACCAAGTCCTACTAAAATGACTCCAATAAGTGAGCCACTCATCCCACATAACGAGCCACGTGGAGGCGGGCGGGCCAGGCTCAGAGGCCCTGCCGTGGCACCAAGGCCCAGGCTCTTGCTTTCTGATCCACATTCTTAGTGTTAGTTTGTTGCCTCATGGTCTCAGAACGGCCACCGATCCTCCGACATCACATCTGCATCCCAGGAAGGGGGAGGAAGACGGCCAAGTCTCTGCTCCTGCTGGAAAGGGAAGCCCCACCCCAGCAGACTTCCCTAATGGCGCATCTCATTGGCCAGGTCGAACACCAGCCTGAGACCATCCCTGACCACGGAAAATAACACAGGGTGGGCAAGAGTAGGCTCACAGGTGCGAGTCCGTGAAACATGGAGTTCATTCTTGTGTTAATCATTTATTAATTATTATGTATTTTCTTTTTTTTTTAAGGATTGTTTTGTTTTGCTTTATACATTTTTTTATATATATTTTTATTGATTTCAGAGAGGAAGGGAGAGGGAGAGAGAGATAGAAACATCAGTGATAAGAGAGAATCATTGATCGGCTGCCTCCTGCACACCCCACACTGGGGATCGAGCCCGCAACCCAGGCATGTGCCCTGACCAGGAATCGAACCATGACCTCCTGGTTCATAGGTCAACGCTCAACGCTCAACCACTGAGCCACACCAACTAGGCAATCTATATATATAAAACCCTAAGCAACCAAATGACCGAACAAGTCGACTGGTCGCTATGACGTGCACTGACCACCAGGGGGCAGGTGCTCAACCCAGGAGCTGCCCCCTGGTGGTCAGTGCGCTCCCACCGCGGGAGCACCGCTTAGCTGACCGACAGGTGCCAGATGCCGGGCTCACGGCTGGCGAGCACCTCTCCCCCCTCCGTGGCAGCGCTACCAAGCAGCGGCTGCAGGCACAGTGGGGCTGGGAGGAGCAGGAATAGCACAGCGCCCGCAGAGCCTGGCCTGGGCTCGGGCTCCTCCCTGGCCACCTGGCACTTCCTGCACTACTACATCCCCCAAGGGGTCCTGGATTGCGAGAGGGCACAGGCCAGGCTGAGGGACCCCACCGGTGCACGAATCTATGCACCGGGCCTCTAGTTATTGTATATTTTCTGTACGAACAACTGAAAACCTACTTTTGCCCCACCCCATGTTATCAACTGGTTTAAACCAACCACGCACTCTCTGCCCGCTCCCTGCCCAGTCCAGGTTGGGAGTCGGGGGCGGAGGAGGGCCAGGGCCGGGGAGGTGGGGACCGCGTGTGACCTGCTAAGTCCTTTCCCTCCTCCCTCAGAGGACGCTGCTGGAGGCGGCCGTGGAGAGCGTGTACGTGACCAGCGCGGGCGTCGGCCGGCTGGTGCAGGCGTACGACCAGCAGGTTGGGAGGGCCATGCGGGACCACGCGGAGCGCAGGCTGGAGCACCTGGAGAGCCTGCAGGGTACGCGCCTGGGGAGCCCCCCGCCGGGAGCTGGCGAGCTCGGAGTGCTCAAATTTCACTTTTGGAAATCTTCTCTCTTTAATATTTCGTTTCCTTATGTGTCCCCTGCTCGTCCCTAAAAGGCTGTTTTAAAAGGCACTTAGAGAAACGTATGCATGCAGCACGTTGAAGTAGATGGATCGGGACAAGAGCAGTGAGGTGGAGTGGGGTGGGCTCTGTACCTGGGACCTATGTCACCAGAGCCCACTGAGTGGTCCCATGGTTCGGCTCTGGCTTCCTGGTGGCCAGAGAGATGGACACGTCCTCAACCCGAGCTGTGACAGGGGCCGTGAGTGAGAACAGACCAGTGGCCCCTACGCTGTGCCCAAGACCAGGGAGTTTTCCCCGGGGGCTCGCGTAAGTGGTGACTGGGTAGCGGCATGGACGTGTCCCCAAGACCAGCGAAATAACAGACAAAAGCCGCTGCTGTACCGTCCCTCCCGCACCGGGGCCTCAGCACAGGCCCACGCGCTCTGAAGGCTGCGCTCGGCTTGTCCACGGGGCAGAGTTGGAACGGGTCCCCGCTGAACGCGTGGCAGCAGTCGGAGGCGGGCTCCTGTGATATGATTTCCCTCAACCAGCTCAGCTGGCCTGTCCCCCCTTATCCTGGGGAATTGGAACCCTGGATTCAAATAAAACCTGGGACAAACCCAGAAATGTGCCGGCCCCGCGGACCCTTCGCTGGGGTTTTCCAGAGTCAGGGGGGGTCTCGCCCGGTGGGGGACGGCCGGGACTGGGACACTCAGGACAGGGTGCTCACTTCCCCTTTCGCAGCCTCAGTTTCCCCACCTGTGGAACGGGGATCCGTCAGCCCTCCATGCTTCCTCTCGGCTCCGACTTCCCGCTTCCCTGAGGCCCAGCCCGAATGTGGGGATTGCCTGTCAGCGAACGGAAAC